TTTCAAGCTTGAAACTTATGCACCTACAATCACTCCACAGGATAGAACTGACCCTGAAGGTGGAGGGGTTCATGGGGCTTGCACTTAATGCGGTGGTTTTAATATGAAATCTTAAATAACGAAAAAAAAGTGGCACCAGTCAGTCAGAAAATGGACGGCATTTATGCAACTGAAAGGAATGATCCCAATCATTTAGATTTTAGAAGAAATAGAGTACAGCGCTTCATTCATTTGCCTTGCTGGAAGACCTCGCCATGGACGGTTAGTTCGTTCCAAGGGAAATTCATGTTGACACCTGTGTTCTAATTAGCCAGCTGATAACGAAAAAGTGTAATTAAAATGCTTCGTCCTTCCAAAGATGTCAACATAAGGCAAGCATTGGGAAGATGTTTTACTGCTCGTTCATGTTCCCCCTGGACCAGCTTCACAATGCATTAACTTTACTCAGCCTCAGAGCTAGAAGCCGCATACTACGCTTGAACTCCGTAATCTAGACAAGCAAAACACTGGCGAAAGATAATAGCGCCGTAGGTCTTCAGCCACTGCTTAAGCATGCTCGCACAAAAGCAGGCAGTTCCTCATCCGGCTGTACCTACTCCGGCCTAACCTCTTCTGGCCTAACCAATTCATGCTGTCCCGACTCACAACCTTGCAGTCAATGACTGGCTCTACCAGCAAACTTGGACAGCCTTTCTAACTTCCTGCAGCCAATGAGGTTAGGTTAGGTCCGCTCAGATTTGTTTTGGATGGAGAAATGTTGCAACTTGTATAGGTTGGGACTGAAGAGGTCAGGCTGGAAGAGGTTTGGCCAGATGCAGTATGGCCATGCTTACCTTTAGCAAGCTTATTTTGTGGCTGTGGACATCCGGCGCTATAGCTTTGAGCACTTGACTTGATGCACTGCTATGCTCTCTTGCGTTCTCACCTACGGAAAGAAATATGAACTAAGTTTGAAGTTTGTCGAAGCAGGAATCCGGCATGCACCCCTTTTTCAAAACATATGATTTGTTTTGACTAGAGTTGACGCAAAGCCATTGAAAATTTACAAAAACGACATTTCAGCGCAATTTTGACATTTGTGTAAAATTTTTCGGAACTTATCCTGAATTATTTAGGTAATAATGTTGAATAAATATCTAGAACTTGTTTATAAATCAGTAAACAAAATAAGGCACGCATCGATTGATACGGGGCGCATGCCGGAGGCCAGCTTTGCCAAACTTCACACTTAGTTCATATTCCTTTCCATAGGTAAGAACGCTAGAGTGCATGCATAACGGCCTATGAAGTCAAGTGCTCAAAGCCATAGCGCCGGATATCCACAGCCACAAAATAAACTTGCCGAAGGTAAATATGGCCATACTGCATCTGGCCAAACCTCATCTGGCCTAACCGCTTCAGGCCTAACCTATACGAGCTGCAACCTTTCGCCACCCAAAACAAACCTGAGCGGACCTAACCTAACCTCACTGGCTGCAAGAAGTTAGAAAGGCGGTCCAAGTGCACTGGTAGAGTCAGTCATTGGTTGCAAGAAGGTTGTGAGCCGGAACGGAGTGAATAGGTTAGACCAGAAGACCGGTCCGACACTTCAGCGAACTCGCGTGCGAACTGGCCTGCGAACTCGAATGCAAACCTAACTTCATTTTCAACTCAAACACCCATAAATCCGTCAATAATGAACGGATTTTATTCAAATTTGAAATATAAGTAGATAATATCAGTAATTTGTGGACTGAATTTTTTCAGATTTTTACATCAATAACTTTTTTCTAATGCTACAAAATACTGAAACTTGACCTGACTAGGACCTAACCTGCGAGGTGAACGTGAAGTTCACCTCGCAGTTTTCCTCGGTTTTCCGTATTAATGAAAAAGTAATTAATGTAAAAATTGGAAAAAGTTCCGTCCACAAATTACTGATATTATCTACTTATATTTCAGATTTGAATAAAATCCGTTCATTATTGACTGATTTATGGGTGTTTGAGTTGAAAATGAAGTTAGGTTTTCCGTATTAATAAAAAAGTTATTGATGTAAAAATCTGAAAAAATTCCGTCCACAAATTACTGATATTATCTACTTATATTTCAAATTTGAATAAAATCCGTTCATTATTTACGGATTTATGGGTGTTTGAGTTGAAAATGAAGTTAGGTTTTCCGTATTAACAAAAAAGTTATTGATGTAAAAATCTGAAAAAATTCCGTTCATTATTGACGAATTTATGAGTGTTTGAGTTGAAAATGAAGTTAGGTTTTGCATTCGAGTTTGCAGGCGCAGGAGGGTTCGCAAGGAAGTTCGCTGAAGTGTCGATTCGGTGGCCAGAAGAGGTTAAGCCGGAGTAGGGACAGCCGGATGAGGAACTGCCTGTTTATGAGCGAGCATGCTTAAGCATTAGCTAAAGACCTCCGGCACTGTTATCTTTCGGCAGTGTGCTGCTTGTCTGGATTACGGAGGTCAAGCGTAGCCTGCGACTTCTAGTTCTGAGGCTGAGTAAAGTTAATGCATAGTTAAGCTGGGGCGTTGGCTCCAGGGCTTATTTATGAGTGAAATTTGTGGCCTACGGCTGCGCCCCCGATTGATGCCAAGAGGTTCTTCTAGCCTCATACGCAAGTTAACTGACCGCGTGCCGGAGGCCAGCGTTGCCCAGCATTAAACGTTAATCATATTCCTATCCATTGGTAAGAATGCTTGAGGGAATAGAAGCCTATTAATTGTAGTTCTCAAAGCCATACCGCCGTATCTCCACAGCCACCGCCTAAGCATGCCCAAGTAAAGCGTGATCATACTGCATCTGGCCAAACCGATTCTCGCCAAACCTCTTCTGGCCATCCCAAACATGCTGCAACATTTCTGTTGCCAACATGCCACGGTAAAATGTGTTGCTTGAGCGAGAACAATGAAAAACAGTTCTTGCCCATATTTATCTATTACACTAATTCTGACGTTAGTAGCTCAGAAGATATACTCTGTTATGAAAATGGCATTAATCCTTTCAGTGAAACTGAATACCAATATGTTGCTTAAAACATCAGGCCTTGATGATATACAGAAAAATATTACCGTCTTCAAACAACAATGCAGTAAATTCAAATACAAATTTAAGTTATCCCATGCTAATCGGTGCTGCAGTTGCCTCAGATTCAAACACTTTCCGGCAGTAGAAGTAAGAATATACCACCATCGGAACACGCCTCTCTCGACTCTCGAGGACCAACGAAAAATTATGAACATTCATAATAAGCGACAAATTTTGGAAAAGGAAGAACAACCTATGCGATTTTTGGGAACAACGGGACTTGCGTCTCGCTAGTCAACCTTCTACCTTCGCAGAAAATATCAACTAGATAATCTCCTCTTCATCTTATTCAACTTGAACGGTATATAGCTGTCCAGCTTTGATACTTGAAAGGTATCTAGCTTTCCTTATTGACAGTTCTTCATCTTCTAAAATTTTACCTGTGTTATTAACTTGCACGATTGATTGACATTAATCAAGATATGCTTGATGAAAAGGGGGCACTTTCTTGTCTCTACTGCAGAACTGCTTCTGAAGGGGTCGCAATGTCAGCAAGAAACATCAGAGGTTAATTGATGATTATATTTGCAATCATCGCATCGCTTTTTTCAAGATAGTCACGCTTTAGACCTAACAGTCTTTCATCAATGCCTAATATTTTAAATAATAAGTGGTAATTGTTCCATTTATGTATGCAATTTCACTCAAGGGAATGGCGTCATTTTCATAATAGAGTTTAACTTTTGAGCTACTGACGTCGTCAATTTGTGTAATTGGCGTTGCTGGCTAAAACTTTTTGCCTAGTTCTCGCTCAGACAACATATACTACAAACAGGTTGGTATTTTGATTAAATAAGTCTGGATTAACTGAAAAACATTTAAAAGTAAAAATCCCACCGGGACACAAGCGACACCGGTACAGTCCCACCGGGACATATGGCGACAGTGAAATCCTCCACTTATACAAGGTGTTGGGGGGGGGGTGGAATAGGGACTGGCTCGTCAGTAAACTTGCGCATGAGGCAATAAGAACCTCTTAGCATCAATCGAATTGTGTCTTATTTTGTTTATTGATTTGCAATCAATGAGTAAATATTTAATCAGTACTATCACCTCAATCATCCAGGTTAGCTTTTATATAAATGACAATAACATCAAAATTTGGCTGAAATTCACGTTTTTTTCTATTTCCAATCATGCCAACTTAAGAAATTGTTTATCAGAGGAAATCTTTAAATAAAATTCATTTGGTAGGTTTTCACATAAAAAATCGAAAGCTTTTTTTTATTCGTCTGCATTAGTGAGGCATTTTTTTGCTTCACCTTACTGTATAAGCTTACCATGGCGAGGGCGGAGCATCAGCGTGACTGTGGACTAAGCGGCCAAGACAGGTCTTGGTGTTCGTTCATCCAATCGGTTGCATGTCTCACATTGCACAAATTAGAAACCATTTCTGAAATTTTTATGCTTATCCGGCTATTTATTTATACTCTTTAGACTTAGACAAAAGATGATAAAAATTTATACATTATTTACGTATTTAGGGAAAGGAAAATTTTTATGAAGCACCTTGTGCCTTTTACATCTTTACCGCCAGCAACCAACCGTGGATTGTCATTACGTTGTAGTAACGACAGCGTTGTTCATGAGTAGTGACAGTAAGTTCTGAGCAGTGACGGAAAGTTATGATCATTGCCGGCATGTCATGAGCAGTTACGGGATGTCATGATTGTGTTGATTGCAAGGCAAAAAGTGGTACTGGCTCCAGCCAAACGGAGGTTATTCATCCGTCACATTCACAACCTTTGTTGCCTGCAGAACAACTTAGCTGTAGTTATGTCGTTACGGTGATTATTGAACCATTGATTGTCGATGGCGGCCGAATTAATAAGCGAACTCAGATTTTACCCTGGTCTGAATTTCTCTGAGCTCTCAAATTTTGCATCGTTTGGAAGCAGACCCTTAAGATCCCATGTGCACCTGAGACGAGTGCGGGTGGCGAGGGCGGCAGACTTGAGCATCACGATAGTCTGCCGCAGCTGCCGCTCGTCTGTCGTCACGCCAGCGATCGCCACCGAGCGAGAGCCGCCTGCGTATAAGTATTGAATTAATTCACTTCCGTCTGGTCTCAAATTAGGTTAATTGATTCTAACTGTACTCAATCGCAAGGGCGATGGAATCACATAAATGAAAGCTCTACTAAGCACAAAATTGACGACGATGATCCATGGTCTCAACTTTATTTCCGGTATTGTAATCTCACCCCCCAAAAAATATATATAAATAATATCGACTAAAAAAGCATCTTTTGTGTTTGATCTTTATATCTTAATTTACGATTAGCATTTCAATTTCACTGTTCATCCTGTATTGAAACGTAATACTCGGGTAATTTGCCAACCTGTGCACAGGGTAACCACAAAGGGAACTGGGTGCCGTAGGTGGTTTTGATGCCTCAGGTGGAAGTGGTGGGGGCGTGAGGATGGTGTGGTGGTGGTGAGACCAACACAATACCACCACACTAAAACACATGACACCCACAACACCGCTGGCACACATCGTAGCGTCCGTGACGTCATCACTGCCCCACGTTGAAACCACTGAAAATAAAAAAAAAAAGAAATCTGAAATCTGATTTTTCTGAAAAGAAAAGCTTGCAAATGGCCACTTAGCACTTCGAAGTAGATCTACAATGTTTAGTGTCGCACTACTGATTCGTGTGCAGAAAGACTTCGAAGTACTACTTCGCTGTTAGAGTACTTTATAGTGCCGCACTAGGCTATGAGTCTATTGAAGAATGGTAGTTAAGTGCTCAAATAATTAATTATTCCCCAATTAATTCTCATTCTTTGCAGAAGATTGATGTAAAATGTCTAATTGTGATTGTATGTAATAGTAATAGTGAAAATTGTGATGGTGAGCTGAAATTCGCAATGCGTCTGCGCACCTTTCCCGTCATATGTATATTCAAAGGCCGCGCTTCCCAAAGACATCGAACAAAAGAGAGGAGCATGGAAAGTTCTTGCAGAAGAATTCAAAATGACTACAGAAAAAAAACAAAAAAGAAAATTCAAAACATGGTATCAAAAGCAAGAAAAGTATTTTCTACTTCTACGCTGTTCATTTGTTTCGACAAGGAAAATGTCAGCCATAAGAATAACATGTTGTTCACTGAAGCGGTACACTTTTTTATATTCATGGCATGTAGTTACTGAGGTTTTTACGCGATGATGCCTTTGCTGTAAGCCAAACAGATCCATAGCTGACGAAGTAAACAAGGTGAAATATACCGTAGTGTCGTCGTGAAGTGCGGTGTGTAGGACACTTCAGATTTTTGTAGTGCGCGTTATGCTTTTGGCCCTATTTAGCATACCAACCGTAGTGTTCCATGCCGCACTATGGCTTGTAGTGCGTAGTGCTACTTCATAGTGCTAGTGCCCTATTTAGCATACCAACCGTAGTGTTCCATGCCGCACTATGGCTTGTAGTGCGTAGTGCTACTTCATAGTGCTAGTGCCCTATTTGGCAAGCCAACCGTAGTGTTCCATGTCGCACTAGTACGGCACTACGGCTTGTAGTGCGTTGTGCTACTTCGTAGTGCTAGTGCCCTATTTACCATACGGGATATTCTCTTGCAAATATTTTATATACCCCAGATTAGTTATGTGTGTATCTTTTATAAAATGCGGGGCGATTCAGGTGCTGCTATCTCTCAATATCATCGAGATTTTAGAGTGGTTGCATAAAATATGGATTCTTCGTTACTGATTTTCGTGGCACACATCGAACGTAGAGGCTTTTTCAAGGGGTCGTGATTTTCTTATGACCATTCGAGACCATTAGCTGGTCTCAAATGAGAAACTGGTCTTAAATGAGAAACTTAAAGGTGAAAGAAACTGAACAAAACGTTAACATTAAAATTGATTCCTAGTTAAAAACTTCACCCATCACTCCTCACCGTCTGACATCTCTAACCACTGTTTAATCTTTACTATTTTTCCGGAAGCCTATTACCTGCAGTGTGATTCCATAAAGTGGTACGGCTTGGTAACAACCGTGTTTATCACTATCGCTCTTGGCTATTCTGCCAGGCTTATTGCAAGTGGCCGTACCCGAAGCCCATAGCCCCTAGTTCTTGAGTTCGTCACTCTCAGTTGTTTTGCCTTCATTATGTCTCGTGGCTTCACTTCGTCATGCTCCTATACCGTACCTGAACATTTATGGTCTGTAATTAACTGCCGCTGATGGTGGCGGTGTCCCACTGCTTGAATAATTATTTTGCTTAGCCACTCGTATGAATGTTGTTACTGTCAAATCCATCGTTCCACACCCTTTGTTGCTCCAGTTAAGGCTGGCATGGCGGTAGTGTTTTAGTGGCCGTGTACCAGTAGAATCGCAGAGAGCAACCGGTCATCAATTGTAGATGGGTTGATATAAGAAGTCGCACTTGCAACATTGTTGTCATTATAGATTTTGATAGTTTCATACTTCAACTGTACTTAAATCTTTCCCTCGCAATTTTTTGCGGTTGTTGCTTACTTAATCCTCGCCCGGCGGTGGTCGTAATCTCACGCCCACCGACAGTGGCCACCGTATGTATGTAGTTGTAGGTTGTAGTCCCTTCCAGCACGTCTCGGACAGATTTACGGCCGGATTCCGGCCGGTCTCACGGCCAACCTCCAAAGTCAATGAGCAATAATATCTCCAAAATTAACGAACGCAGCTCGATGAAACTTGACACTCATATTCGTCAAGACCTAACAGTGAAGTTTAGGTCGTGAAAATTTTTTTAATTTCGCCTTCATTCGTGAGTTAAATGGAGTTACGGGACGAAATTCACAGTGATCAATGAATTTCTTTCTAACTACTATACAGATTTGAACGAAATTTTGAAAATACATTCCTAACTACCAAACGGTGGTATTTAGTTCGTGAAAATTTATTTGACTTTGCCTGCGTTCGCAAGTTTTTTTTTTTCGTTTCACCTTCATTCGTGATTTAAACAGCAATACGTGCTTAAAATCGCAGTGATCAAAAAATGTCTTCCAAACTACTGAACAGATTTGAATTAAACTTTATATATCAATACCTAACCCCCAACTGTGGTGTTTAGTTCGTGACAATTATTTTCGATTTTACCTTCATTCGCGAGTTATACGGCTATTCGAATACGCCTCTTGTTCAATGCAAATTTAAAAATCGGCCTCAGAAATGTCGGTCGTTTCTCCGTAATTTACCGTTTCTCCATTAGAAATAATTATTATTGTGAATAGTTAGGTATTTCTTTATTATTCTACCCTTTGCCTGTAAATTTAGGTTTTAACTTTAACTGTTTTTTTTTTCTTTTGACCACAAACTTTATTAATTTTCTGACTGTATTTGTGTTCTAGATTTATCGAACTGATGATGGAGCTGATCTCCGAAACGTTTTCAATAGAGAAATGCTGAATTTTTGTGGAGTTTTCTTCGCTTTTAAATTTCTAGTGAATCTGCGATTCAAGCAATCTATTGACATTATTACTCCGTATATGTAAGTATGACACGCGAACGAAGTCATAATCTAAAAAATTGTTACGAGTTGCCGAAGATACTATACTATACTATACTATACTATACTATACTATACTATACTATACTATACTATACTATACTATACTATACTATACTATACTACTATACTAACATAAATGAAGTAAAAGGATGCTAACTCTAATTTTTACGATACGTGAAGTTCACAACACACTGGATTTTCAATTTCAGAACCATGTGATATATTTTTCGGAGAATTTCATTATGTGATGTTTATAAAAACGAGATAGCAATGTATTAATTTAAAAAATTTTTAATTTTAGGCTGGCATTATTTAGAAGTAATTAATAGGATTTGAATAGAGTTAAGCTCTGTCCGAACTCACGCAGTAAAATGTGTGGCGCCTCAGACATAAGTGAAAGTGACGGAAGGCTGACTAACGCAATTCGACTTCGCTGAACCCTGACTCCTGGACAAGGAAAAACAAGATCATCTTCCAGTCCAAATCTTGGTCAGACAAGACCTATTCTCAACTAATGACAACACCTGGTTACATTGATTCCCATGGAAAAGAGACTCGTTTCTGCCATAAAAATTCTCTTTTAGAGCAGCAGTACTTCTCATATAACAATATATGAGAAGATTTCCTGATGTTCACTTTGCTCTATGCTAAGTAGACGATAAGGTAATACTTTGGAATACTTTCTGAAATCTTAACACGTATTTACAGGCCTAAAATTGGCTACCGACTGTAGGAACATTCAAAGACAAGTGATTTTCCAGCGGAGCGCAAACTTGGAGTTTGCTCGCACGACAAAATTTTGTGGTCTCATGACCGTTGCAATGTCGTTTGTTCTTTTCCAAAAAGGAAATGATTGCTTAAGTGCCAGGCTCAGTGGCTACCAGCATGTCTAGGGCTTCCAGCGATGCTTATTGCCAGGTAAAACAACAAGGAAAAGTTCAAACGATTTGAGCGGCTTATGCATATTTTCTACCAAGGAGAGGGAGTGAAAGTCTATACTCGAGTTGATTCCATAAGACTTAAGAGATCGGTGAGGATGATGGAGTAAATGTTATGAGTACCATTGGGGTTTCGGTTGACTGAAATTTTACTGAGTAAAATGACTTAAAGGGAGCAACTGCGGCTGTAATTGAGGATCAAAAGAGAGATTTGTAGTATGGAGTCAAGGAAGAGGAGGGGAAAGGTAATGATGGAATTTTAGAGTGATACATGGAGTAATTGCACATTATTATTACACTTTATTCGTATAACATTTGTACTTCAATTTAATGCATTCTAGCATATTTCGAGTTTATGCTGTTTATAATATTAGACTTCATATTCTCCTTCTGAAGTCGTATTATTACTAGTGTCTTTTATTTATCCTCTGAGGAGAATGACCAGTTTTTCATTTTAATATGTGACGGAGTGCTGGTAGTTCGCATTTCAAAATGTTATACTTTAGGTCTCTAGTATGCCAAAATTACCAGATCATATTAATATCAGTGAGCGGAAATTGTTTCATGGTATGAATTATTTAATGCAGCTTTCAAAGCTGTAATTTGCGGCTAATTATTTTTCCAATCCCTAGGTACTTAAAATAATGTCATTCAATCCTTGGGAGCTTTAATCGAGTCTACAAAAATCTATTTGACTCCTATATGAGAGCAGCTGGTATCCGGTAGGAATGTGATGACGATCTTAATAATTGGTTACTTCCGGCGTTTCAACCTAAAGAATTCTATGGTATAGCTAGTGAACGACCTATGGAAATTGAAACGAGAATTTCCGTGGAGCTGAAAAAATTTAAATTTTCAGTATTTAAAGGGAACAAGTTCTCAGGATCGAAAAACAAAATAAAACATTTCTTGAAATATTGACGTTAGTCCTGTCTGCTTCACAAACACCTGCTACTTCTGCGACCAATCCAAGCCTTTATATTCTTTTTGTATTAATTCAAACGACTAAAACTCATCGCCTCTTTTTCTCAGGATGAAAGTACTTAACTCATTCAAACAGAATAGAAGTCTTTCATTTCTTCAAGTGGCAATTTCTACTGTTTA